TCTGGAAAATGTAGAGATAAATGAACTTGTAATGTACAAAGATATAGTGTGACATGAGGCTACCCAGTGAAGTTTGGGTTAATAAATTTCAATTTGAATTTAATTTGTACTTGATGTGGTCCCAAAAAAAGGGCATTAGATTGTGTTAAACTAAGTAATAAATAGATGTACTGAGAGAATTTGGTTTGAAAATGAGTTTGAAGAACCTTTGCATATCTGCTTAAAGCTACTTTCCCTGTTGTCCAAACTGTGAATGGAAACTAATAAGAAGAAAAAATGGCTCAAACACAGCAGCAGTTTAGTTTAGGACAGTTTTATTTGGTGCAAAGAGAGTTTAGTAGCAGGAGTCAGTGATGCGCCTCATGCTCATCATCCTCATGCCGCTCATGCCCATGTTCATGAAGCTCCTGTACTCGCCGGGCCTCATGTACATCATCCTGCCTCTGTAGTGGGGCTGCTCGTACATCAGCCAGTGGCCGTCCATCACGTTGCAGGACATGCAGTTGGACATGCGGTGACGGTCCATGATGTTGTCGCAGTCGTCCATCAGCTCAGACATCTGGCCGCTGAAGTTCTCCCTCTCGTAGATCCTCATCCTGTAGGATCCCCTGTGCTGAGGAGCAGAAGGCGAGGCAGAGGTTTAACTCACAGCATTTTTACACATGCCACCTACAGCGCGTCCAACCAGCCCTGAGATCTTACCATGGGGATCATGCGGCAGGACCTGATGCCACTGCTCATTCCCAGCATGCTCATGTAGTCGGAGTACTCGCCCCTCCTCATGAAGAACTGGTTGCCCATGAAGTTGGTGCGGTCGTAGACCATGAAGCAGCCTCTCTCCACCCTGCAGGAGTGACACCTGCTCAGGTAGGAGGACATGTCAGCGCAGTCGCTCATGCACTCATAGGAGCGACCCTGGAAGTTCCTGTCCTCGTAGAAGACGATCTGAGGAAGACAGACTTCAGTTAGCGCATGTAAGAGATTTAAAGCTGCACCTTTTTGCTGGTGTTTTTTTTTTTATTATTATTTTGCAGAAGCTGACTTTCAAGTGCAGCTTTAAACTTGGAATAAGTGATTTTTGGTCACTTGGGTTCAACATTTTTGTTAGCAGATAGTTGCCTATTTACACATCCAGCAGCAGATATGAAGCAACATTCACATTTATTTGACGTCGAGTTTCAGGCCAATCAAATCGAACAACACTTTTTGCTCTGTTTTTGGTCTCCACCAACTTGAGAAGGAAGCATTTGGCTTTTTAGCTGCTAAATGTTTGACTATCATCACCAGCTAGATGCTAACTTTGTCAGTATACTGTTTGGAGCTGGGCTGACAGCATTTTAGAAGTTTTTTTTTTTACTGAGAACAGCTGCCTGCGATAGCGAATGAACCAAAACTGTGACGTCGCTGACTTTGAAGTCAAGAAATGAGCCACAAGCTTTTACACTTTACATCAGCATGGCTCGTTATGTATCAGTACATAACAGCTGCATGTTATAATTTCAGGATTTTGGTGTCGGTAACAGCTCCAAGAGCCAAAGTGCACAAGCATGAAGGAATTGAAGACTCACCCTGCTCATCATGTTCATTCCAGAACTCATTTTGCTGGTTGGTGGAGTGCTGCTGCTGCTGGAGCTGCTGAAGCTGCTGCTGTTCTTGCTCTTGCACTGAACTGTGCTCTACCTGGTTTAACCCTTTCCTTTTATACCTGACCCACAGACTGGCCCTTTGTCCAAACCCCCTGAGCCAGCAGCAGCGTCATAGAAATGCACAGAATATGGTGGTGGTGGTGGGGATTGTCTACATTTTCAGGGGCCAGTGAGCTCAGAAATCCTTTCAGCCGCTGCTTCTCGCACAGTGCAGGGGTCACAGAAAGGGTTAACAATCGGAGGTCACACCTTGACACTGTTTATTCAACGTTTTGTGGGCAACAACGTATTTTTTCTGTTGTGTTTTCTTTTTTTGTTCCTGACGTTGCATCTTTAGCATGTTGTAGCGCATGTGGAAAGAGTCTGTAGATTCATGAAAATGCCCAGTGGCAGAGCTTAGCTGTAAAAACACAGTAATATTTTTTTCTACAAAGTAAAACGTGCCAAATAGAGCATCACCGTATAATCAGTGAAACTTTAGTATGAATAACGTGGTTTCTAACGCACAAAGAAACATGATTAGGAAACTGATTGTGATGTGTTAGTGAATGGAAAACGCAATCAGTCACAAACTGACTTTTAAATGTGTCAAAACATATTTGACAAAGAGCATACATTTTGACTGTTGTGTTGTATGTAGGAGAAAAAAGTGGAAAGACTGTTTTTTAATATAAAATGTGTTCTTCTACAACAGTCTGATCTATCACTATGTATGTAAAATGTTTATCAAACTCCAACAAGGTGTACTACAAAAATGTGCAGCATTAAATAAGGCAGTAACAAAAATGACATATTATACATTAGATGGTGAAAGACAATAATGAACACAATGTTGACAGCTTTTGCCATTTATCATTTTTACTGTCACTAGTTTTTTCAGTATCTTAAGGATCAAAGTGATGTGCTTAAACACTTCACAAATGTTTCTCTTCCATTAATTATAGAAAAACACATAAACCCAAACTGTATTTCAATTCAGAGAAGCAAACAAACGAATAGGCCACATTAATAAAACAATGTTAATAATAATTTATTCAGCATCTTTTAAGAACAAAGTGACACAGAGCTTTACAATAAAAACATCTGAGTAAATAAGAACCAGAACTTAAGCTATAACCAGATAAAATAATTCTAAATAAAGCCAAAAAGCCAAATAATAAAAGTGATTTTTCAATAGACTTTTAAAAGATTATGTTGAGTTTGCCTGTCTGAGCTTTCCTGGCAGCAACGGGGCCCAGACAGTGAAAAGCCCGGTCACCTTTAGTGAGAACATGAGAATTATAAATGATTAGTAAAGCCCTGTCAGATGATCTCCAACAACGATCAGGTTTATTTTAAGAACAGATCATAAAT